CAAGAGGGCCCAAGACGGCCTAAAAGGGTCGTCCTGTGGGGCTCACGGAACCCCCCGAGACGGCCCAAGAGGCCCCAAAGCCAGCCCAGGAGGCCCCCAAGACGGTTTCAGGGAGGCCCAAGAGGGCCCAGTTCGAAATCATCTTCCCGGAAGCCTCTCCGGGAACATGATTCCTGGGTTCCCAGGACGCCCAAAGACAGCCCCCAGAGGCCCCGGACACGCCGAAGATGGCCTCAGGACGGCCGACGACGCCTCCAAAACGCTCCAGGAGCGCCTCCAGAGGCCCCTCCAAAGAAAAGGCCCCAGAAGCCGAAAATCATACATTTTCGAATGGTTTTTGAAGCATTCTTGCGCTCTCCCATGTTTCGCCTCCCCACGGTCCCGGACCGCGTCAGAGGCCCTTCAGATCGCTCCAAGACGGCCGAAGAGGCTCCCAAGAAAGCCCAGAGACGGCCCAGGAGGCTCCCCAGATAAGTCAAGAGGGCCTCGAGAGCGCCCCGAGAGAGCCCCAAGAGCGACCCAAGAGGGCCCGAAGAGCGCGACATTTTGAGGTCTCCGGCCTGAGAGGCTCTTAGGACGCCCCTGGAGGCCATCAAGAGGCTCCCAAGAAGCTCCGTGAGGCTCCCAAGAGGCCCTCCTGAAGCCCCACTGGGCCCCCAAGGGACCCCCAGGGAAGCCCTTGCGGGATCCCAAGACACTTCGGAGAATCGTATTTCCCAGATAGTTTTCCAGGAACATGATTTCTTGGGCTTCCGCCCACTGCCCCAACCATGTTTCCTCCAATAAGCAGGTTTGCCAACAAGGCCAAAAGGCGCCCCTCAGTAAGCCCCCAGAGGCCCCACTCTTCGAGAGAGCCGAACAAAATCATGTTCCCAGAAAGTTTCCCGGGAACATGATTCTCTATCTCGGAGTAGGCCCGGGGGGGGGGGCGGGCCGCTGCCTGTTCCCCCCATCGGTGCCCACCAGAGGTTGCGGGGGGGGGTCCAGAGCTCCCGAGGCGGCCCGAGCCCGCCCCGAAGGAGGCCACGACAGGCTAAGGGGGTCCCGAGAGGACCCAAGACGGTCCCACGAGGCCCCGAAGACGCCCAACATGTCCTCAAGACAGACGACGAGGACTCCATCACGCTCCAGGACGGACTCAAGAGGCTCCCCAAAAGGGCCCTGGAAGGCAAGATTCACTCGTTTTCCGAGTGTTTTGGATTTTGGCGTTCTCGCCTTTCCCGCTGTCCAGCGCTCCTTCACGGCCTGGGAGGACTGTCAGATCGCTCCAAGAAGGCCCACGAGGCCCCGACGAGGGCCCCAAGACGGCCCAGGATGCTCCCCAGTCAACCCAAAGGTGCCCCAAGAGCGCGCCAAGAGAAGGCCCAGAGGGGTCCCGAGGCGGCCCGGGCCCGCCCCGAAGCGGGCCACGACAGGCTAATGGAGGTCCCGAGAGGGCCCTACACGGTCCCAAGAGGCCCCGAAGACGCCCAAGTTGCCTTCAAGACGGCCGACGAGGACTCGAACACGCTCCAAGACGGACTCAAGAGGCTCCCCAAGAGGGCCTTGGGAGGCAAGATTCACTAATTGTCCGATGGTTTTTGAAGGATTTAGGCGTTCTCGCTTTCCCCGCTTCCCAGCGCTCCCTCACGGCCTCGCTCGGAGGCCCTTCAGATCGCTCCAAGACGGGCCAGGAGGGCCTTCAGAGGGCCCCAAGACGGCCCAGGAGGCTGCCCAGACAACCCATTTGTGCCCCAAGAGCTTCCCAAGACTCAAGACAGGGCCCAGAGGGGGACCGCCAACTGATATTTCGAGGTCTCCGGCCCTCGGGGCCGCCTGTAGGCCCCCAGAGGCCACCAAGAGGCTCCGACAAAGCCCCGTGAGGCGCCCAGGAAGCCCCAAGAGACCCCCGAGGGGCTCCCAAGGAACGCCCAAGAGGCCCCCCAACACACCCCAAGAAATCATGTCCCCAGAAAACCTTCCACGGACATGGGCCCGAGAGTTCCCGGAGGCCCCCACGGGGCCCCCAGCGAACGCCCAAGAGACCCCCCAACACACCCCAAAAAACCATGTCCCCAGAAAGCCTTCCGGGGACATGGTTCATCATGGGCCCGCGAGTCTCTGGAGGCTTCGAAGTACCATCATGATACAGGAGAGCTGTCTGTGAAGTTGATTGAGAATATGACTGATCGCCTCCTCGCGGCCCTCCGCAGATCGTTTCGCACAAAGTTGCCCTAAGTGCCCTCTTGAATCGACGACGACGACGAAACGACGAAGACGACGCCGACGACGACGACGACGACGACGACGACGGCGCGCCCCAATAATTAGGCGACGACGACATTACGACGACGACGACGGCACGCCCCAACAGGCTCCCCAAGACGCCCCAAACGCATGCTCCCAGAAGGCCTTCTGGGAACCCGATTCACACGGCCTCCGACCCCCTACACAACCATTTTCCTCGAAGGCCTTTCGGAATGCAGATTGGCATGCGTGGACTGTGTTCCACTACTTCAGTGGAGCAGCAGTGAATTCGTCAAGGCCTGGGGCCTGCTAGAACCTGAGCGCGCGCGAAGCGCGCGCGATGTTTCTATTATCAACATATATACCAACTCTTGTCTTCATTGCGAAGGCCTTACGGCCGGTGCCGGTGACGACGTCGATGACGTCGACGACGACGTCGACGACGACGACGAGCGCTCTCGGGGGCTTCTTGGGGGTTGTTTGGTGGCCTCTTGGGGGGCTTTTAGGGGGCCGCTTGGGAGCCTCGTGGGGAGCCTCTTGGGGCTTCCTGTGGGTCTCTTGGGGGCCTCTTGGGGCCTCTGGGGGGGCTTCTTAGGGGCCTTTGGGGGCCTCCCAGGAGCTTCTCAGGCCGAGGCCTCGAAATGACCGTTCGGGTCACCCGTCTGGGCTCCCTGTTGGAGCCGTCTCGGGGGCCTCTTCGGCTGTCTTGGAGGCCTTTTGGGCGGTCTTGGAGCCCTCTTGGGTCGTTTTGGGGCCCTCTTGGAGGCCTCTCGGGGCGGTCTTGGGTGCGTCTTGGCCTGTCTTGGAGCGTCGAGAAGCTGACAAGGCGACAATGCCGAAGTCTGTCAAAAACCGAAGGGAAATCGATGATTTCTGCCCCGTGGGGCCCTCTTGGAAGTCCTCTTGGAAGCCTCTTGGGGCGTTTTGGAAACCTTCTGAGCCGTCTGGAGGCTACTTTGGCGACTTGGACCGATACTTCGGCGATTCGGGGCCCTCGAGGACGACCTTGGGGGCATCTTGGGCCACTTTTGCCGCGCCTTGGAGCTTTTCTGGGCCCCCGAACCGCCCGGGGGGGGTCGTATCTGGGTGGCGACCCCCCCAGGGCCACCCCCTGGGACCCCCCCCCTGGCGGGGAACCCCGTTCGACTCATTACAACGTTACTCAATTTCGTTATGGCTGGCGCGCTCGAGGAGGAGGGCCCAATGAAAGTGGGGGGAGCGGCGACGGGCCTAGGGAAAAGAGAGGGGAGCGACGATGGCGACGACGACGTCGTCCCACGACGACGACGACGACGACGACGACGACAACGAGTCAGGCAGATATGTATATGTATATGTATATGTATATGTATATGTATATGTATATGTATATGTACATGTATAGGTATAGGTATAGGTATAGGTATGGGTATGGGTATGGGTATAGGTATAGGTTTAGGTATAGGTATATGTATAGGTATAGGTATGGGTATAGGTATAGGTCTATGTGTCTGTGTATGTATATTTATATGTATATGTCTATGTATATGTATATGTATATGTGTAGGTGTATGTTTGTGTACATGTACATGTATATGTATATGTGTATGCATATGTATATATACATGCATATGTACATGTATATGCACATGCCTATGTCTATGGACATGCCTATGTATATGTATATATACATATGTATGTGGATGTGTACGTGCATGTATGTGTATGTATGTATGTGTGCATGTATGCATGTATGTAGGTATGTATGCCTGTCTGTCTGTTTGTATGTATGCATGCATGCATGTACGCATGTATGTATATGTATATGTATATGTATATGTATATGAACATGTATAGGTATATGTATATGTATATGTATATGTATGCATGCATGCATGCATGCATGCATGCATGCATGTTTGCACGCATGTATGCATGTATGCATGTATGCATGTATGTATGTATGCATGTATGTATGTATGTAGGTGTGTGTATGTATGTATGTATGTATGTATGCATGTATGTATGTATGTGTGTATGTATGTATGTATGTATGTATGTATGTATGTATGTATGTATGTATGTATGTATGTAGGTACGTAGGTATGTAGGTATGTAGGTATGTAGGTATGTAGGTATGTAGGTATGTAGGTATGTAGGTATGTAGGTATGTAGGTATGGAGGTATGGAGGTAGGTAGGTACGTAGGTACGTAGGTAGGTAGGTAGATAGGTATGTATGTATGTATACATCTCTCTCTCTATATATATGCGTGTATAAATATGTATATATAAATATATATAAACATATATAGAAATACCGCCCCCCCGGCCTCGGGTACCACACCTCTCCGGAACATCTCGGTGACGCGCCCGCTCTTCCGGCCTTTCCGGGGAGCCTCCACAGCGCCCCAGGAGGGCCCACGACGCCTCCCAGGAGCCCCCCACGAATGCGAAAGGATGGCCCACGACGCTCCCAAGCAGCCCAAGTCAGCCTTTCCGACGGCTCTCGAGGCTCCCAGGTGGCCTCCAAGAGACCCCAAGAGAGGTCCGAGAGGCGTCCCGGGACGGCCCGAAGAGTCCCAAAGCTTCGATCCTCATATGTTTTTTGAATGTTTTTGGTTTCTCGCGTTTTCCAGCTTCAACGGTCCGAGAGCGCCGAAGAGGCTCCCAAGACCGCACCAAGACCACCCAAGAGACCCTTCCGTAGCCATTTTGGCTCAAGGTGAGCTCTTCGTTTTCTCACATCGCAGCTGAACATTCATTGCTACACTTCTTGGCGATCGTCGACTCAGCAATGGTACACGTACTGATCTCTGCGGCGACATTTGCACTCGCTTACGCTGTGGGCGCTGAAATGCAGCTCATGCAGATGTCATTGCATGGGCTGGATGGTTTAGAGGCGGCAACGCTACGGACTGATTTCGCGGCGGATGACGTGCTTATTCCTCAACCTGGATGCGCAGGTCCTGGCAGGGAGAGTGGGTGGCTTACCGTCGGCAAGCCGTACACTCCTGCACCGTGCGCGATTGGGTGCGCGACGGACAACTACTTCACCATTGCATGGAAAGACGCCAACTGCAAGTGCTCGGACCAGTGTACAAATGAAAACGGTGGGCACACATCCTATGCCTTTGTTCAGAGCGCGTCTGCAGTGATCTCCATGGTGCTCCACGTGAACACCAGCCAGCAGAAAGGACGACGACTAGTCGAGGCGGCTGACCACATGGTGAAGGGGGCCTCTTGGAGCAAGTTGGTGCAGGACATCGATTGCGAAGCCGGAGACGATTACAGTGGCGCGTCGGTGTCGCTGAGCAGCGACGGCAGCCGCGTGGCCCCTGTAGCATACGGCAACGACGGTGCTGGGTCAATGTCTGGTCACGTTCGCGTCTTCGGGCTCTCGGGCATCACGTGGAGCCAGGTGGGGCAGGACATCGATGGCGAAGCCGGAAACGATTTAAGTGGCTGGCCATCGGTGTCGCTGAGCAGCGACGGCAGCCGCGTGGCCATTGGAGCATACGGCAACGACGGTGCTGGGTCAACTTCTGGTCACGTTCGCGTCTTCGGGCTCTCGGGCAACACTTGGAGCCAGTTGGGGCAGGACATCGACGGCGAAGCCTCAGGCGATTACAGTGGCTGGCCATCGGTGTCGCTGAGCAGCGACGGCAGCCGCGTGGCCATTGGAGCATACGGCAACGACGGTGCTGGGTCAAGTTCTGGTCACGTTCGCATCTTCGGGCTCTCGGGCAACACGTGGAGCCAGGTGGGGCAGGACATCGATGGCGAAGCCGGAGACGATTTAATTTGCTATTCGGTGTCGCTGAGCAGCGACGGCAGCCGCGTGGCCATTGGAGCATACGGCAACGACGGTGCTGGGTCAATGTCTGGTCACGTTCGCGTCTTCGGGCTCTCGGGCAACACTTGGGGCCAGGTGGGGCAGGACATCGACGGCGAAGCCTGAAACGATTTAAGTGGCTGGTCGGTGTCGCTGAGCAGCGACGGCAGCCGCGTGGCCATTTGAGCATACGGCAACGACGGTGCTGGGTCAATGTCTGGTCACGTTCGCGTCTTCGGGATCGAGGCGCCGACGCCAGCACCAACGCTCGCATCAACGCTCGCGCCGACAGCCTTTCCAACGCCCTACCCGACGGATTTCCCGACGGCCTTCCCGACGCCCAGCCCGACACCCAGCCCATCGCAGGCGCCGACGCCCGCACCAAGGCTCGCACCAACGCCCGCACCGACAGCCTTTCCAACGCCCTACCCGACAGATTTCCCGACGGCCTTCCCGACGCCCAGCCCGACACCCAGCCCATCGCAGGCGACGACGTCGTCCTCCGCCATTGGCGACCCACAACTGCAGAACATGTTCGGTCAGCGGTTCGACTTGGTGAGGCCGGGCACGGTTGTCTTGGTCAGCGTTCCGCGCGGGACGCCTGTCGACGATGCGTTGCTCGTTGTACAGGCCGACGCGCGTCGATTTGGGGCACATTGCTCGGACATGTACTTCCACGAGATCAACGCAACAGGGACGCGGGCGAACAAGGCGCGGCCCGGAGGCTTCCACTTCGACGCTCGCGACGCGCGAGACGAGACGCCGAAGTGGCTGAAACTCGGGCTTCTGGAGCTCAAAGTCGGCAGCAGTCACACCGACAAGGGGCAGCCTTACCTGAACGTCTACGTCAAGAACCTACAGCACACAGGGTATCGTGTCGGAGGGCTGCTTGGAGAGGATGACTACACGGAGGCGGCGGCGCGTGAGGAAGGGTGCCGGAAGATGTTGTCCCTGGAGGTGCGTGTATAGTCAAGTTGCGGATCTACAGGGTTCGGTCACAATCGGCTACTGAGCCCGGCTACTCGGACCCCATCTGGGCGGCCGAGACGATCCCACGGTACGTCGTAAATTACAAGTTCAAGACTATTGAGTAATTCTAAAGGGATTCGCAATTTTCACCCAGCGGGCGAACCAACACACTTTGGAAGTTTTCTTCCTCGTGTGCAGCGTTTCGAACTGCCCTTGCCTTTCCGCGCCCCCCACGGCTTCGCTGCTCCCTTCTGTTCGTCTGGACGCCGCCTTCTCAACTCCTGGCTGTATTTCATATCCGTTTACATCTGATCGGCGCTTCTTCGTGCTGAAACGCACGTTGGCGCCCTCGGCAAGCAATTCAGGGACTAGAGTCGCACATATTACGCTGTCGGTCAAAAAAATATCCGGGCGAAGGACCCAACCGTATGCAGTTGTGGGTGCTGCAATTGTGAAAAACTTCTTCGGTGAAACTCCCTATGGGGCCACGAAGCGCTGCTCTGGGTGGGGGGGAACGCTGTTCTGGGTGAGCGGTGTGTCAAGTAAGGTTTCCGGGACGCATGCGGACGGTCCCACTGGGGGCCTCGGTGGAGCTCCTTATGGGGCCACGAAACGCTGTACTGGGTAAGTGAAAATGCCAAATTGGGCTTCCGGGACGCATGCGGACGGTCCCACTGGAGGCTTCGGTGGAACTCTTTATGGGGCCACGAAACGTTGTACTGGGTCGGTGAAAATGCCAAATTGGGCTTCCGGGACGCATGCGGACGGTCCCATTGGGGGCTTCGGTGGAGCTCACTAAGGGGCCACGAAACGCTGTATTGGGTGGGTAAAAAGTGCCACGTTGGGTTTTCGGGACGCATGCGGACGGTGGCACTGGGGCCTTCGGTGGAGTTCCCTACGGGGCCCCGACATTCTGGACTGGATGGGTGAAAATGCCACAATGGGTGTTTCGGGACGCTTGCGGAGGGTCCCAGTGGGGCCTTCGGTGGAGCTCCTTGTGGGGCCACGAAACGCTGCAGTGGGTGGGTGAAAATGCCACATTGGGTGTGCGGGACGCATGCGGACGGTGGCACTGGGGCCTTCGGTGGAGCTCCCTGTGGGGCCACGAAACGCTGTAATGGGTGGGTGACAGATGCCAAATTGGGTGTTTCAGGGCGCACTCGGACGGTCCCACTGGGGGCTTCGGTGGAGCTCCCTATGGGGCCACGAAGCGCTGTACTGAGTGGGGTGGACGCATGTGGACGGAAGCACTGTGACCGTCGGTGGGGCTCCTTATGGGGCCACGAAGCGCTGTACTGAGTGGGGGGGACGCATGTGGACGGTGGCACTGGGGCCTTCGGTGGAGCTCCCTATGGGGCCACGAATCGCTGTACTGAGTGGGGGGGGACGCATGTGGACGGTGGCAGTGGGGCCTTCGGTGGAGCTCCCTATGGGGCCACGAAGCGCTGTACTGAGTGGGGGGGACGCATGTGGACGGTGGCACTGGGGCCTTCGGTGGAGCTCCCTATGGGGCCACGAAACGCTGTACTGAGTGGGGGGGACGCATGTGGACGGTGGCACTGGGGCCTTCGGTGGAGCTCCCTATGGGGCCACGAAACGCTGTACTGAGTGGGGGGACGCATGTGGACGGTGGCACTGGGGCCTTCGGTGGAGCTCCCTATGGGGCCACGAACGCTGTACTGAGTGGGGGGGCGCATGTGGACGGTGGCACTGGGGCCTCGGTGGAGCTGGGGGGGACGCATGTGGACGGTGGCACTGGGGCCTTCGGTGGAGCTCCCTATGGGGCCACGAACGCTGTACTGAGTGGGGGGACGCATGTGGACGGTGGCACTGGGGCCTTCGGTGGAGCTCCCTATGGGGCCACGAAGCGCTGTACTGAGTGGGGGGGACGCATGTGGACGGTGGCACTGGGGCCTTCGGTGGAGCTCCCTATGGGGCCACGAAGCGCTGGACGGTGGACGGTGGCTGGGGCCTTCGGTGGAGCTCCCTATGGGGCCACGAATCGCTGTACCGAGTGGGGGGGACGCATGTGGACGGTGGCACTGGGGCCTTCGGTGGAGCTCCCTATGGGGCCACGAATCGCTGTACCGAGTGGGGGGGACGCATGTGGACGGTGGCACTGGGGCCTTCGGTGGAGCTCCCTATGGGGCCACGAAGCGCTGTACTGAGTGGGGTGGACGCATGTGGACGGTGGCACTGGGGCCTTCGGTGGAGTTCCCCATGGGGCCACGAAACGCTGTACTGAGTGGGGGGGACGCATGTGGACGGTGGCACTGGGGCCTTCGGTGGAGCTCCCTATGGGGCCACGAAACGCTGTATTGGGTGGGTGAAGCGCAGGGAAGAGGGGGAGGACGAGGGAGGAGAGGGAGGAGGAGAGGAGGAGAGAAGGATCGCGGGGACCGTCTCTTCAAACCGAGGACCCAACACCACAGGATGGTTGGGGAAAAAAGACCACACCCAGGAGACCCTCAGGACGGCCCCACGACGGGCCAAGAAGGCTTCAAGGTTACCGAACAACCGCCCAGAACAGTCCCAGAACACCCCAGAACAGGCCCAAAATGGGTCCAAGAGCGGGAGCAGGAGGCTTCCAGAGACCTCCGAGAGGCCTTTGGGACCCCCCAGAGGCCCCCAAGACACCCTCGATCCCAGAGAGGCCCCAAAAAGACCCCGACGAGGCTCCAAGAACAGCCCAAGAGAGCTGCGAGAGACCAAAGAGGGTCAAATCGTTGATTCCCAATGTTTTTTTTCTAATGTTTTTCGCCTTCTCACGTTTTCCCGCTTCGAACCTTCGAACATCGAGGGTTTGTTGTTGATGATGATGCTGATGATGTTGTTGTTGTGGTTGTTGTTGTTGTGGTTGTGGTTGTTGTTGTGGTTGTGGTTGTGGTTGTGGTTGTTGTCGGTGTTGTTGTTGTTGTTGTTGCTGTTGCTGTTGCTGTTGCTGTTGCTGTTGTGGTTGTTGTTATTGTTGATGTTGTTGGTGTTGTTGTTGTTGGTGGTGGTGTTGTTGTTGCTGTTGCTGTTGCTGCTGTTGTTGTTGTTGTTGCTGTTGTTATTGTTGTTGTTGTTGTTGTTGTTGTTGTTGTTGTTGTTGTTGTTGTTGTTGTTGTTGTTGTTGCTGCTGTTGTTGTTGTTGTTGTTGTTGTTGTTGTTGTTAAGGTTGTTGTTGGTGTTGCTGTTGCTGTTGCTGTTTGGTGTTGGTGTTGGTGTTGGCGTTGTTGTTGTTGTTGTTGGTGGTGGTGGTGGTGGTGGTGGTGGTGGTGGTGGCGGCGGTGGTGGTGGTGGTGATGGTTGTTTGTTTTTATGGTAATTTCGAGAATTCCTTTTTTTTCAAAGTGGATTCCTCCTCGGAGATCCCACACATCCCCTGACATCTGGCCGGTACCGCGCCTCCCTGCTTCCCAGGGGGCCCCCAAGACGCCCAAGGACAGCCCAAAACGACCCCAAGGAGCCCCCAGAACGTAAAGAACGGCCCAACACGCTCCTGCGCAGCCCGAGGCACCCTTCCGACGGCTCTCCAGGCCTCTAGGAGGCCTCCAGAACCCCCAGGGGTCCAGAAGATCCCACACCCCTGAGGGGCCCAGCTAACAAAACCCGCGAGGCACAAACAACAAATAGGGCCGAACAGCGCCGAGGAACTGGGAAAACATGGAAATCCCAAATCCCACATTTCCTTTTTTTCCAAGTTTGGCCCCCGGTCTACTCTTGCACAACAGACCACAATTCAGACCCCCCTCACCTCCCCAAAAATTACCCAGGAAGCCTTTGAGGGCCCTAAATCGTTGAATACCTAAAGTAAATTTATGATTTCTGCGTTTCCGCACTTCTCCTTCTATACGATTCCGAGGCTTGCGCATGACCTCCAAGGGAGTCCCTGGACGCAAGAAGCGACCAACATGAGATTCCATGAGTTAGCCTATCAAGCCTATCTAGAACTTGAATGCGCGCGAAGCACGCGCGATGGTTCTAGTATGTGTATAGGTATATCTGTATCACTGTGTGTTCCCACGTTGAAGCCCAGTATGCATGCACTACACTTGGTTGTGCCACGCGGTTTTCGGGGTGACATGTGTCACCCAGTTGGCGTTTTGGAATGTGTGTTCCAGTGGTGCAGTTCCGGATGCAAGTGGGCCAGGTTGTTTTTCGCACATAGTTTTCGGGGTGGCACGTCTTACCCGTTTCCCTTTCACAGTATGCCTTCTTTTGTGACGGCTCACCGTACAAGTGGAACCAGCGGTTGTCCTCACGCAGTATGCGCGGTTCTGCCGCCACAGTATGCACCGCATCGCCCCCTGGGGGTGCATTCTTAACGATGCGGACTTTTGCGCGTCCTCGTCGCGACAGTATGCACCGCGTCACCCTCCCTGAGGGGGCGCCCTTCACAATGCGGATCATGAACGGGACCCTTGCTCGTTTTTGCCGCCGCAGTTTGCACCGCGTCCCCAACTTGGGGAGCGCCCCCTAAAGATGCGTACCGTGCAGGGGCTGCAGTGTGCGCCGCGTCGTCCGCACGAGCAGGTTCTCTATGAGGTTTGCGGCGCCAGGTCCAGAGGCACGCGCGTATTTCAAGGATGCCCTTGTGTCGTTGCATTGTTTTCCTTTTGCTCCGGACGCTCATTCGGCAAGAACTTGGATCTTCAAGGGTGCTTTTGCGTCCTGACGTTTTTCTGTTTCACGCCGCTCAACCATTGTCCAACGCCCTTGCGTCCTTACCGCGTGTCCTTCCTGTTGCTTTTCATTGCAGCCAGTCGCCCACAGGTTTCGTGTTTAGTGCGAAGCTTTGCATATTGCAATTTTGTATGCCGCATTGGTTCGTTGGCATATCCACGCCGGTGGCGTGTATGTTTTTTCGTGGCTTGTACGCATTGGTAGAGCATGTCGCCAGCTTCTTATACAACGTGCAACCCCACTGTAATATTTAGCAGCCATTTCTGATGACTTGGTGACCAGCCGTGAGATCCCAGCACCAAGCTGCAGTATTGAGTTCATAGTTCGTCGCTGGGAGGCAGCAGCGAAGAGCACACCTCTCGAGATGTTTTGCTTGGCCGAACGTGGTAAACGACCGTGTGGTAGATTCTGGTAGATGCCGCCAGAAAGCACCTCGGGGGGGGCCCGGGTCGCGAACAAAACTGGCACGGCCACGAGCATCATCATCCGGAGGCTGCTGCAGCGCCGCGCGCAGGCGGCGAGCCTGGAGGAAGGGAGGGTTGGAAAGCAGCTCCGCCTATTTCTTCGGTTGAGGGATCTCTCGCCAGGAGGGAGGTCCTCTCACCTCTCACGCATCTACCTCGCCCCTCCGACACTGCCAAAACGTTCCCGAACGTTCCCGCTTGCCTCTGCTCTCGGCCCCTCTTCCGCTCCTTTTTCCCCTCGCCCCTTCCATTTCCCTTCCTCGCCCTCGCCTACCTCCAATTGTTGCACCATGCCGAACAATTTGCCATGGTCCATGCAAGCGTGCACACGTGTGTTCCGCATGCAGCATGCAAAGAACTAGCCCGGATGGCGTTTCAGATCTGCTTAGGGCGCGGTTCAGGAGGAGGACATGGCAGAGGCGGTCGCGATGAAGAAGAGGAGGAGGAGGAGGAGGAGGAGGAGGAGGAGGAGGAGGTGGTGGTTATGGTGGTGGTGGTGGGGGCGAGGGCGAAGAGGAGCAGGCCGAGGAGGAGTGGTCGTGCGACGGGGCGGAGACGCCTCTCGCCGCCTGCGCGGGAGGACCTGCAGCCGGTGCTGCAGCCGCAGTGGGCCGGCGTGCCGGTCGCCTGGCTCTGGCAGGCCCAGGCGCTGCGGAGCCAGGCGGCCGAGGACTGGCCGAGCGCGGTGGCCTGCTGGCGCGGGGGGGCGGGGTGGGGGCGGCCACGCGCGGGAGGGGAGGCGGGGAGAGGGGGCAAGGCTTCTTGGAAGTACCCCTGCTTCTTGGAAGGCGAGGGCCCTATGTGTCTGTACCGGTAGGGCCGGCACCTTCCAAGAAGCGGCCTCCTTGTGAGAAGCCTGCCCCGCCCCCTTCTCCCCTCTGCGCGCCGCCAAGGGAGGTCCTCACGCCAGCATCGCAGAGAGGACTTCGTCTGAAAAGCAATGGGGTGGGCCCGGATGGTCCTGGAGAATGGTGTTCTGGATCTCGAAGGGAATTCTAGACGCTTCCGCTGCGGCTCTCTTGCCCCCTCTCGGCCTCGCTTCCGTGTGTTCGCTCCTTCCCCCCTCTCTTGCCAGCCGCCGCCCCGGTTCGAGAGGTTTGGGTGCCGTACCAGGTGCGGCGACCTCTCAGGGGTGGCAGCCACGCGCGCTGGCCCGCGCCCCAGTCCCGCGCGATCCGCGCTCGGGCGGCCCGCGGCTGGCCGCGCACGCTCTCGCGGCGATCCTGCTAGTCCCGCTGGCGCTGGACCTCCCAGGCGCGGGCGCGCCGAGCCCGCGTGGCATAGGCGAGCGCGCCTGAGGCGTGCACAGTCGCGCACGCTGCTGCGGGTCGCGGCGGCCGCGCGCCTCCTTGCCGCACACCACAGCACCATGGGCAAGGGAGGCAGCGGCAAGGGCCGCGCGGGCGCGACGGGCGGCACCGCCCCCCCGCCGTGGCAGGGCGTGCCCCCGCCCCCGCCGCCAGGCTGGTGGTGTGACGACTGTGGTGGCTTCAGCGGCCCACAGGAAAGGCTATGCAGGTGCTGCTACCCAGGCCCTTCGGGCCCAGTCGGAGGAGGCGGGCATGGAGGCCCACCGCAGCAGCGGCAGCAGCAGCAGCAGCAGCAGCAGCGGCAGCAGCAGCAGCAGCAGCAGGTGCACCCCCGCCGACGGAGCTCGACATTACCAGGGACGCCAACCCGCCGACGTTCCCGTCTCCCGCCGCCGCAGGCGTGATCGAGAGAGGCGAGAGGAGCGGCCGAGGTCGGGCTCGCGTGTGCGCTTCGCGGATGAGCCCGAGCCCGACCCTGACGGCAATGGCGTCTCGGATGCCGACGAGGAGATGCGCAGCCCAGCGCTCGGGATCCTCCCCGCGCTGCCGCAGGATGCGAGGCAGCACCCAGCGTGGGTTGACCCTCCCAGCGACGAGCGCGCCATGGCGGCGCACAGGCGAGCATTACGGCAGATTGCAGCTGCGACAGGGAAGCGCCTTCAAGCGTCAATCGACCTCGGGGCATCAGAGGAGATCATCGCAAGTCAGAAGCGAGAGTACAGCGTCCAGCTATGCATGATCATCACGGCCCGTGCGCCAGGTGAGCGCTGTGACCGCCAAAGAGCCTACGTCGCCAAGGCTCTTGGCAAGTTCGAGCGCGCCCGCGAGGCGGTCGACAAGGCGCAGGAACGACTACGAGAGGCCCAGTCGAAGTGCACGCAGCGCGAGATGGAGCATGACAGGGCCAAGATGCTGCTGGACCAGCTCGAGGCGATGCAGGCAGGCCATGCAGCTGGAGGAGCAGCTGGCGACGTGGACATGGGCGCGTACGTGGAGGGCACGCGGGCGCCTGAGGCTGGAGGCGTGACGCCTCAGACGCCTCAAGGCATGCCTGTGCAGCTGGCGGCCATCGCGGAGCTCCAGAACGGCCGGGCGTCGCTCACGGCCCAGCTCAGCAGCCTGACGGCAATGCTGACGACGCTGCAGACGGCGATGGCGGCGGCGAGGACCCCAGCAGCTGCCGCCGAGGTCCCAGTCCCACCTGAGGGCGGCGGACCGCAGGTCAGGCCCTACGCTGGCCAGCCCCAGCGACTTGGCCGCATGCCGACGGCCGAGGAGATCGCGGCTGCCGCGCCTGCCTCCGAGGCCGCGGTAGCGAGCCCAGTCGACGGAGCAGCTGGCCCTGCAGCTAGCGCCGGCCCCGCGCCGCCCGTGCCCGCGGCAGCTGACGGTGCAGCGGCGGAGCCTGCAGAGGCCGACGGCGAGGACCTTGCAGCGGCGCGTGCCCGCGCCGCCGCTGCACGCCGCGCCAAGCGCGAGCAGGAGCGTGCAAGGCGCCCGCCGGGCCAGCCGCTGCTCGCGGACGCCATAGCCAGGCAGCAGCAAATGGGCGGGCATCGAGGCCGCGGCAGCATCCCGGCCCCAGCTGGACGCGCAGACATCGCGGCGGAGTTCGGCGACCATGAGACGGAGGCGGCGGCGAGGCGGACGCGGCACAGCCGCGACCGCAGACCCCGCAGGCCCGACGGCTTCGAGGTGGTCGGCGGCGCTGGTGCGGAGTCGACGGGAGAGTCGACACTGGGGTGATGCAGCAGGGCAGGCGAGCTGCCAGGAGTGAGATGCCTGAGCCATTCATAGCTCGCCTGTGGCTGCCAGCGCAGCCAACTTAGTGTCAGAACCTTTCGATCAGATGGAGTCCGATTTGCCTCCCCCCTCGCTCCGAGCCACCTTTGCCCCTCCTACGCCTACTCCTGTCCAGCTCACGGATCCAGCATGCTGAAGTCAGACATAGACGCAAGGCGTGCCTTGCCGCATGCATAGCTCCATGGACGGTGCAGCCAATTTTCGGCAGCAGCGTCACGGACTAAGTAGAAGGAGGGGTGGAGGTTAGTCGGAGGGTCAGGTGGGTTCACGATTACTCTCTCGCCGCCAGCCGCCCCTTCTCCTGCCGCACTGTTTTTTCTGCAACATGAAGTTATATATGTGGTGTAAACCTACCTACTGCCAGTCATGCCTTACGTCACTCACGGAACTCCCTACTCAGGTTGTGGGACCATCTTGGGAGTTTCGATAGGGTGCTGAAGTTTCTATGCTGCTTACCACGGTCGTGTCCTGCCGCGCGCGCATTTCTATGGTGGACGCAGCCAAAGCTTGGCAGCGGCATCTTTCGTCAGAAGAATGTTGGAGTGGAGGGTGTTTCGGGTTCAGGAGGGAGGGATTACGAGCGAGGAAGCGACCCGCTCCTTTTCATCGCCCTGCCCCTCGCCGCTCCGCACATCACCGTACCCACCCCGCCCGCCCCCTCGTGCTGAATGATCAGTCAGATTGCTACGACGTGCCTAGGTGCGTGTCAGGTCCAGGTGGCCATGGCAATCATGCAGCTAGGGCCTACGGGGCAGCTCCGCACCCCCCCCTCGCCCGAGAGGTACAGCCGACGGCTCGCCAGCCCGCTAGCGAGCATGCCCCATCTTTCTTGTCGCATGCTACCCCCTCGCTTTCTCTTCGAGGGGATGGACGGGGCAGGATCGGACAGTCAGCGTGCGCACTCTCTTGCGCACAAGTCAGCGCCATTTTGGCAGCTATCTCATGTGTTTTCTTGGGCAAGAAACAAGCGACACAAAGGCGACAGGGCCACAGTCTCCCTTTGTGAAGACTGCCGCATTGCCCGTCCCAGTCCCCAGTCCCGGCACATACCACGATTTCAGTCGCTGCCAGCGAGCCTGTTCGCCTTTCGCCCCTGGCACAGGTCCAGCCACACGGCTATCAGTGACACCACACTCCTGCGTGTCTTAGACCGCGGTGCGTCTCGCGCATATGGGATTGGAGTGGTGGGCGGGATTACGTGTAGATGGTGGGATCGGGTTGAAGGAGTTCTCGGTGCGACCAGTACACACTTGCGAGCAATGCTCATATGCAGAGCCTGTGCGTCATGCAATGAGGAGCGGCGAGCGAGAAAGAAAAAGGATTAGGGCCCAGGTCTGCGTTCCAGCCTTACCTACTCCTCGTTTTCTGCTTTGGCAATTCACTCCTCCTCCTGCCCCCGACTCCACAGTGCCCAGGCCATTGATGCAAGCCCCTGTAGCGCTTGCCGGCCAAGTCAAATATTGTTGAGGGGGTCTGCGTCCCAGCCTTCCTCCTTCCCGTTTTACGTATTATTTTCCCTCCCTCCCTCTCCCCCTCCACCCGAATGCCCTGGACGGGCACAGCAGGCCGCTGTCGCAGCTTTCGCATTTGCCGCCCAGCTGCCCAGTTGAAGTGTGGGGGATTGAGTGGAGGTGGGAGGTATACGGAGTGACGGGTTTGGTGTACTCGTACTGTATACTGCAATCCTTAGGTGCCCGTGCGATCTCACTATTTCAGTTTGCATCGCTAGTCGCAGCGCCATCATAACTCGACAGGCTAGTTGCCTCAACGAGCAGGCACAGCTGCGGTATGCCTGAGCCGGTCACCTCTAATGAGGGTCCCTTTGTCCCTGGCTCGTGCACTCGCCTATGCGGCCTACGCGCCACTGCGGCCAATCTACGTCTGCGCCCCAGTCGTTTATCCCGCTTCTTCTTACCTTTCGGTCGTGGAACCCGCCAACCAAACACAATATCACCACCAGCCCATCCAGAAACGGGGTCGGGGCGAATCGCCCCCGGAGCGCGATTTTCATGTTTTTGTTGTCGTTATGGTGGCTCGTGCTAGGAGAGGTTGTTGGCTGATGCGCGTGCTGCCTCCGACCAAACAAAATACCTGAACACCCGCGTCCTCCATGTCCTCGCATTGCGCCTTCCGCGACGATGCGATAATTGTGTCGTGGGGCGGACTGAGCCTCAGCCCCAGCCAGCCTAAGCCATCCACGCCTGAGCCTTAGCCTAAGCCAGCTCCGCCTAAGCCTCAGCTTAACCTAGGCCTTGCCTAAGCCCAGCCTGAGCCCCAGCCTCAGCCTAAGCCGCAGCCTAGCCCACACCTCAGCATAAGCATAGCCTAAACCTCGCTAGAACCTCGGCCTAAGCCTTGGCGTAAGCCTCAGCCTAAGCCTAGCCGAAGACTATCCTAAGCCTCAGTCTAAGCCTCAGCCTCAACCTAACATGAACCCCAGCCGAAGCCGAAACCGAAGCCTCAACCAAAGCCTAGCCTGAGCCTCAGCCCTGTGTTTGCTGTACTAGGGTATCACTATCACCACATTACTATAACACTACTACTACTACTACTACTACTACTACTACTACGACGACTACTACT